GGCATCAACAATATGCCAGGATAATCGGCTCATGTCATGCCCATTAGGGCTGGCATTCGCCCACTCCGCAAGCCGCAGTTGCTGATGCTGCCCGATCGATCAGCTGCCAGCGATCGAGCTCGAACTCGAGCTCGCTCCACTGCTGCACGCAGATCTGGCTGACAGTTGAGCTGAGCGTAAAATCGAGTGCAATAAAATGTGCAGAGAGTCGGCGCGCTCAGCAAGTGCCCAACTGGCTGACTGGAGGAACCCGGGCGAACTGCAGCCGAGGAGGACGCGAGCTGCGCATGATCGTTGCGATGATCGCGCTGAATGCAGCGCTCAGCGGTTGTGCGCAGCAGCGGGAAGGAGACTCGGAATTCGTATACTGCTTTGGGTTCGACTCGAAGCGTAGCGGAACTAGCTGCATTTTTGCACGGCGAATTAGCAGCCAGAAACGACAACAGCAACACAAGCAACAACAACAAATAGAGTCAAGCATAACAAACATTATGGCCCAACAGGGTATCGAAGTGTTGCAAATTTTTATTTGGAAGCAATTTTCACACCCTGCGCAAACGGCGCGGCGAGCTGCACGAGAGGACAACAGGCGGGCCGGGCAACTGACCCCGGCAGGACATGCGCTGACAGGACACAGCGTGTCGAATCCAACTGTTGACAACTTCATGGAGCGTTCGTCAGCCAGAGCTGCCAAATGATGCCAAATGATTGCAGACCATATAAATTTCGATTGTCGACGATTAGGCAGCCAGGTAAATGTGCAACGTGTAACGTGTAACGTGCTACGTGCTACGTGCAACGCTCCCGCCCCAGCGGGACAGAGGCGTGGCAGCAAGTCGAAGTCAAAGTCAGCGTCTTAGTTGCGCTTACCCAGCGATTATTTGCAATTATGAGCCCGAAATTTTGCAGCTTAGCTCAACTGATGCTGGGCCACGCCCACACCCACGCCAACACCCAACGCCCACCTCCATGGGCATGCGGTACGAATTTTCCAATGCCTTGTGACAGTTGACTTTCTGACTTGTTTCATAAACACCTTCTAACTGGGCCGCAACCAAGACTTGACCTTGCCCAAAAAGAGAAAAAAAGAATATATAGAAATAGAAATACGGCTCAAGGTCAACGCTGCCGTTTGGTTGACCTTCAGGGCCGCACCGAGCTGACCTGAGCCTCGGGGGGTTTGTGGGCGCTGTGTGGTTGTGTGTTTTGCTTGTTGTGGCGTTGCTTTGGTTACACCAACACCAGCTGCTGCTGCTGCTGCTGCTGCCGCTGCTGCTGCTGACCTTAGAAATTTGATGGATTGCTGCCCGCCTGCTGAAGGCCAATACGGGCGAAATCGCATTCGCTACGTCTCGTCTGCGGCTAACCATATCGCATGGTAATACCAATTTATATAGCCTTCATTATGGCCAAATTAAAACAGCTCATCGGCCATTACTCACCAGCCAAATAGCGCGCCTTTATGAGCCTCGCGAGCAGAGGTTACCACCATATATGCTATATATGTAGGCATATAGGCATATAGCATATACCGTATAGCGGACTACCTACAGTGGATTTTATGATTTGTTTACACGGCTGCGTTTGTGCAGTGAGTGTTGCAGCGTGTTTTTCAAGTCTCTGTGTCTTCCTCCGTCTCAGTCTCAGTCTCTGTCTTCGTTTCCGTCTCAGTTTCTGTTCTCATCATTTGGATTTTCCGCAGCAATAAAATTAATAAGAACGCGCTAATTTTGCAGCTCCGGCCCCGTCACCAGCCGCCCGCCTGCCTACGATGTGGCCTAAGCAAATAGATCGCACTCACTCATCTAACTCTTTTGCCCCTAAACCAGTGCCAGTCTGTGCCAATATTTGCGCAGGCTGTGTCGCCATCGGTCCGCCATTTTGTGCGCTTTAATGACATTTACGATCGCTCGAGGATCGAGTTGCTGCTGCTCTGTGTCTATGTGTGTGTGTGTTTGTGTTGTTGCTAAGCCCGCAAATAATAGCCCATTAATAGCTTGACATAATCATTAAAAATACATTTAATTCATTGCGGATGCGCACGACAACAACAGCAGCAACAGCAGCAGCAGCAACAACACTCATTGCGCGCGCGCGAATGCAATGGCTATATGGGAAATGTACAAGCCGAAGCGGATCTGCACATCTGCTGTAGGTGCAAGCGGGCGCGCGCATGCCCAAAATGCAGTTGACTGTCCAATTAGTTGGCGCAGCCAAACTAGTAGAAGCTCGACAAGCGCAAGAGCAAAAGGTAAACGGCAATACGACTGTGTGTGGGAGAGGGAGAGAGAGAGAGCGAGAGAGAGATAGTGTGTGTGTGAGTTTGAGCGAAGAGCGTGAGTATGTGCTCGGCTGTGTGCGTACATAAGCAGCGCTCACTCCGAAAATATATTTACTCCGAATAGCAATGCACGTAGAGAATTCTAGTGTGAAATATATAAATGGAATGAAATAGAAAAGCAAAATTAAAATTTGTATAGAAAATAATATGGTATTAGAGCAACAAATGTGAATAAAATATAATTGATTAAATATTATTTAATATGATAATATTTATAAAACTTTCAATATGTTTTATGATTATTGGGAACACAATTTATTATATATATTTAAATAGTAAATATTTAAGAAATACCAAGTGAATGGCATACAATCATATAGCTATTTTATTTCATTAATGAAAAAGTGTACTAAACTGCCCACACATGAATTTTCCAATTTTATAGATAATTTCAGCCAACTACAACCGATAATAAAAGTCATTAATAACAATTTGAATAGCAATAAACATTCAAAAATATTACAAAATGCACACACACACTCAGGCTCTTTGCATGCCATAAAAACTAAGTGTTGCCCAAAGCTGTTGATATGCTAATTTACCGTTATTGATATTTGTATCAAATTGTGGCAAATAAGTGTAATTAAATGCAGTTAGCGCACCCATAAATCGCCAACTAAACCACAAAAATAATTCCATCAATCTGGCCAAGGCGATTGCCTGACTCTGATACCGAAAAATGCACTGGCAATAATTTCCAATATTTCCGCCATTTCTTATTGGGCGCAGGCCGTATATATACAACACATACACAATACCAATGCACAGCGCATACACACACTGGCGCACACATACGCACGACAATAGCTCCAAGCGTTCGTCTCTCGTAATATGTGCTGCAACACTAGCTGCACTCTTCACACGCACGCTGCGGCTGGTCTGCGCTCTACAATCACCGAATTGCTCCTCCTCCACACGTTCGTCGATCGTGAGACGGACGGCAGAGCAACAGCAACAGCAGCACCAGCTGGAAATGTAGGCATGAAAAACATAGTGAAAACCTAGTGAAAACGCTGCTATTGCTAGATAACTGGTAGAGGTGCAGGAAATAAAATGGTTTTATTTTAAATGTCATATATAAGATAATTATTTTAAATAATTATATATAAAATATAAAATTTATATTTGAAAATTATTTTCAGCCATTTGCAGTCTTGTTACATACTCAGAAATTGATATATTATCATACCATTAAAATTATTAATTACAATAATGTTGATGCTATAAAACAAAATTATTGCTTATTTATACAATAAATAGTATATGATTAAGTTAAGTTATCAGTCAAGCAGTTCTTATTCTATTCCATTCCAATGGAATAGCTATTGCGAACATTTCCTGTTGGGTTACAGAGCATTTTACATGAGCACACGAAGCGAGTGCTCGGCAATTCGTGCCACGACGACGACGACAGCGACGACGACGACGCCGACGACTGCGACTGTTATGTGGTGGCTCGATCCTCAATAATTTCGAGTCTCTGGTTGGCTGTCTTCGATCTGTTTGCTGGCTGTGACTCTCGTCCGTCAGTCGCTCATTCGCCTCTCGTATTCGCTGTCGTCAACACACGCGCACGCAACGGCAACGGCAACGGCAACGCCAGCTGAACAGGTTTCAAAAATCTATTTGTCGAGTCGAGCTGAGTCGAGACTCGATCGGTCCAGGTAAAAGAACGCGCCGTGTGTTTCAGTTAAGCGTTGGCACTGAACCGGGTAACAATCTTTCACTCCTCCGCTCCGGCACCGACAATTCGTACAAAATACTTACGCGACGTCCATTCACCTACTATGTAGAGCAAATGGAAAGTGTTTAAGAGATCGTCTTCATTCATAAAAAAGAATAATATCCCAAAAAGAAAAACTGTTTCAAGTTTTTTACAAGTGAAACAAAACACATCAAAGTACGAAATAATTAAAAACAAATCAAGTGCCGAGTCGTGTGATCAAGCTACATAATACATAAGTCAACATCATCAATATACGATGCACAAAATATCAAAATCAATAACTGTGCGCATGCTGATGATGATTATGCCTCAGTTATAGTGCGCTAATTGAACGTGAAATTGCCATAAAAAAGAAATTATTTAGACAAGCGAATCTAAGAGTATAACAACAACAACAACAAAAATCGAAAGCAAATACAAAACTGACTACTGGCTGGTCAGTCACAGTGAACCCACAATCAGAATTGTATATATATATATTTCTATATATATATAAATCTAAATAATTGTGAAATAAAAAAACATTGCCATGGATTTAAGTTACATATTTATCGTCTGCCTGCTGGCGCTCTACAGCGCCGACGCCGCAAGCAAACAGAAGTCGGGCAGAGGCCGAGGCTCCATGTGGTGGTAAGTAGCTAGAAAATCCAAGGGAAACACACACACACACACACACACACACACACAGAGAGAGGGGGGGGATGTGCACATCGCTGGCATTGAAACTGACGCCCACGCAACATTTGCATAGATCAACAAACAAATTTCGTCTGCGGGCGGCAGCGGGGGGAGACAAACATCAGTTCGGGCAATTAGCGAGCGGGCGAGAAGAACAAGCGCAAACAGGCAGCGGGACAGAGCGACTGTTGCGTGAGCCAAAAGCCAAAAATGTCAAAGCCAAACAAAAGTTTTGAGGCACGCGCCAGCAACTGTTGCAGCCGTTGCAGCAACCGTTAAGAAAGCCACGAAAATTAACGCAAAAGTTGAACGAACAAAAGTTTCCCAAGCTTAAGTCAAAAGATGCCAAAAGGTCTTGCTCTTTAAATGACCAAATCTCGTGGCAACCTCGACTGTTGTTGTTGTTGTTTGTGGTGCTGCAGCAGCACGCACAATGCGGAAGCCACAAAATGCAGCAGCAGCAGCAGCAGCAACCGCAGCTTTTTTGTCTGATGAAAGCAATTAAAAATTCTAAGCGCGCATTCAACTTTTACCTCTGGGGGAAAAACAGATGCGGCATGAATTGTGTGTGTGTAAGTGTGTGTGTTAGTCAGTGTGTGTGTATTGGTGACACACTTAATGCCAAGACTTGAACAAAGTGTGCTAAGAATACATTTTATTAATGGTCAACTGCAGCTGCAGCCACTACATCAAGTTCGCTGCCTAAGTCTTTCGATTTGAGTTCAATTCGAGTTCAAAACATTTCATGCGGTAATCATTTTTTATAACGGCATCAATTTTGCTAAACAGAACAAAAAATCGAAGAAAAAATAAATGAATGTATAAGAAATGCTGCTTGTTTTTTTTTTTTTTGCGGCGAACGCATAAATCGTTTGCCCATTGATTTTAATCCGCCTGGGAATCGCAGCGATTGCGCTTTGCCGTCGCTTTTGTTTAAAGCGAGTTCTGTTTTGTTTTCTTTTTTTCATTTTATTTTTTTGTTACACTTTCGTTTTGTTGTTATGCAATTGCCAACAAATAAAATATATACATATAAATACAAAAAAAAAAAAAGAAACAATATATGAACTTTCCCACCGCAATCAACGGGCAATTGAATTGGCAATTAATTTGCATACGCGCCGCCGTCAATAAACATTTGTTTATATTTATTTATTGTTGTTATTGTTGAGCACGTCATTTGTAACGAGAGCAGCAGCAAATATACTAAAGTATATACTGCAACTGCCTGCCAGTTGCCCAATGTAGGCAAGGCCATTTGAATAGCAAAATACAAAATAAATACAAAATAATAAAAAATAAATAAAAATACCAAATACAAAATACAAAATAAAGATGACAGCAAATGGAAGCGAGTGCCGACAAGTGTCATCAAATATTTGTCAGTGTATGGGGTTTTTGTGTGTGCATGTGTGTGTGTGTGTGTGTGTGTGGTGCATGCATGAGTAACGCCGGCAATTGACGTGCTTAACAAAAAGGAAAAGCCGCAAGTGAAAAACCAAGAATAATAACAACAACTTAACTCAAGTCAAGTGGAAATAAACATAATGCCAAAAAAAAAACACACACAGACACACATACATACAAACACACATTTATATGGTAGAAAAACAAATACGCATACAAATAGAAACATAATGAAAAATATATTGAGCCGTCGTCTTTGCGGCCTTTTTTCGGCTGCCTTGCGTGTCCAGGTGCTCGAGATTTCCGCTTGTAATTAGGCGCAAAAAGCAAGTGAAGCATTAAATAGTGCGTGACACGCCCCCAAACTGCCCTCTCCCTCTCCCTCTTCATTTTTCTATGTGTGAGTTCTGTATTAATATTGATGTTCACTTTCTTTCACCTGCTTTAGGGGCATTGCCAAGGTCGGCGAACCGAACAACATTTCACCCATCAGCACCAGCATCATGTACATGGATCCCGCCATTCACTCGACACTGCGCCGCAAGCAGCGCCGGCTCGTCCGCGACAATCCTGGCGTCCTGGGCGCCCTGGTCAAGGGCGCCAATCTGGCCATCAGCGAGTGCCAGCATCAGTTCCGCAATCGTCGCTGGAACTGCTCCACGCGCAACTTTCTGCGCGGCAAGAATCTCTTTGGCAAGATCGTCGATCGAGGTGAGTAGAGAATGTCACGATTTCATATAACAAATTTGGGAAAATAACTGAATAAAAAAGGAATAAGAGTTTGACTATATCGATGAACGGAAAAATAGGAAAATTTGCAGAATTGAAGTTTAATCTGTAATTTAATAAAACTTAGCAAAGTAACTGAATAGTGAATAGAAAAAGAAGTGAAAATTGTAGGTAGGAATCAAAATGAAAAATATTTTTAATATAGGCTAGCCAACTTTCTTAACTATTAAAAAATAATTATTAAATATTAAAAATATATTAATACAAATAAAAAAATGAATTTTATACATTTTTAATTGAGCTATCATCTATTTATCAAATATCAAAAATATTTTACAGATAGTAAAAGCATAAAAAATATTTGTAAAAAATAATGAAAAACAAAAACAAACAAAAATAAAATACTTACTAAATGAAAAAAAAAAAAAGAATGACAAAAATATTTTAAAATAATAAAAGTGAAACAAACATAATAAAATCAAAATGAAAATAATGACGAAAATAAGAAAATTGCATTGGCTCGAGCTGATATTTAAATACCAAAAAATATTTTAAAATGTTTAAGGCAATTGAAAAATATGTTCATATATATAAAGCTAAAGTAAAGGCCATCTATTAATTATTAAAACATTAAATTAATTACCTATGCAAGTCATTTATACTCTTTCAAAATGTAAACACTTGTTAAGCATTCGATATTTCCTTAGTTCTATTAGCTAAACATCAGCTTCGCCTTAACTTATTCATTTAGCTCAGTTCTACTCAACGCTAACTGTAAAACTGAATCAGTTTGTGTAGTCCTTGGGTGAGCGTTGTGAAATATGATCTGTGAATTGTGATGTGAATGATCCGTGATCTGTGCGATCTGCGATCCGTGATCTGTTTCTGGAGTATTTGTTGTCAACGCCTCTTGGCGCTGCTACTAGCAAATACACAAATTGATTTGGTTTCAGTTTTGTTGTTCTTATTTATGTTGTTGAATGTCACTTTGTGTGCGCGAGTGTGTGCGTGTGTGTGTGTGTGTGTGGGTTGCATGTTTGTTGTTGCTGTAATACGATCTGGCACTTGCCGCTTGGAGACTTTGCCACATGTTGTTGGGCCACTTTCGCTGTCGCTGTCGCCGCGTCGAAACAATGGCATCGCCTTGTCTGGGCTTGTCTGCGCGCCGCTGCACTTGCTCCATTTGGCGTTTCAGCATGTTTATGCTAATTGCCGCAGGTTGGCAGCACCAAATGCTGCTGTCTCAGAATTAGCCTGCCGAGTCATAGCCAGAGTCAGAGTCAGAGTCTGAGCTGAGCCTGAGCTGTGCATTCAAATCAATCAAATGTGCTTGTTTGTTCGCCCGCTGTGACAGTTGGCCAGGAGCTGTCCCAGGCGACCATCTGAGCCATCTCGGCCATCTCGGCCCAACACTTTTTGCCCGTTGCTCCCCGTTGTCGTTCGTCTGGGCCCGTTGTCAACAATCATTTTCATATAAATGTAAACAGGCAGCTCGCTGCGATCCCGCCGTTTCTTATGAATTGCAAAAAGTGTCGTGCCGTTTTATTATAGCTACTGTCCTGGGCTACCTGTGCTGCCAATGCACCATAAACGCCACGCCCTCGCCGTGCTAAACGTGGGCGTGCGCAGAGGGTCGCGTGCGTTGCGTTAGCGGCGTCAGCCTTTCACTCATCAGCAGCTGAGTTTTATTAGAGCGCGGGCTCTTGACCTTATCAACGGACGGGGCCAGCACATCCTTTTTTTATGAGTTGCACTCTCTTGACATTTTATGGATTTCTCGATTGTCGATGGTGGATTATATTGGTCTGGTGACAGCTTTTTATCGCAGCACTTTCATCGCACTGCTATTTCCCTTCCCAACATACATATATCTATATATATTGTTTTTTTTTTATGTGCCCTTGGCCCTAATTAACACCTAGGCCATTAACACTTTGGGGTTGCACCGCACAGTGGCTCTCAAACTGTGCGTTAATACCCTGGAGACAGCAGCAGGCCCTTACCCTCCTGCCATGTCATCCAGTCATCCAGTCATCCAGCCAGCGGGGCACAAATGAGACAACTCAACTCAACTGAACTGAACGGAGCTCAACTAACTTGTTTTCTAATTGGTGACACCTTGTCAATTTGGCACGCCACACGCTTTAACACGGCTGACTCGATTAGTTGCCTAGGGTATTATGTGCTCTCGAGCTCAGAGTCTTACGCTTACCTTTTCTTTTTTCTCTCCTCTTCTTCTTCTGGATTTGGTTTTTGCGCATTCTAATCATGAAGGATGACGAATGGCAGCCACCCCAAGCGGCTGCCGGTGGCTGCCTGTGGCTTTTATATCAATGTCTAAACTATTCCTGGAATAGTTAGGACCAGAGCCAAAGATACGCACACTCTCTCACTCTCTGGCTATCCTTGCTAAGCTGCTTAAACTGCGCTGCTGAGCTACCTGAGCTCGCCACTTTTATGCTCTCAATTTCATCAGTCTGCTTGCCACGCCCAGCAGCAGCGGAAATCCGTTTAGCAATTAGCCAAAAAAAAGAGAAGAGAACGAATTGAAAGAGGAAAAGCATAGTTAAAAAAAAGTCCTGCAGCAGTTAAAGGGGAGAAGGGGACGGGGGCCTATAGCTACTCAAATTACATGCGTAATACATTTGGTGGGCGTTGTTCGCTATTGTTGCCCCACACACACACACACACACACACACACACACTCACTCACATTTGAATGTTTGCCTTGGCAAATTAAAGAGTACCTGCGCCACACCCATTCTCATGCAATCTGAATGAGTCCACTCATGAGCCACTCATTTCTTTCGCCGCTTAATTGCTCAATGTTCGCTGTTTTATTGTCTTTTGTTCGGCGAAACATTTGCCAAGCTATTTACACAGCGTCAAAAGAGAAATATCCACAAAAGAGAACATCACACACACACACACACACTCACACACACACAATGCTTCAGTTGCCACGCAATGTAACGCGAATTCTTGCTAAGCTAATCACCAAAAAGTCAGAGTCAATTTGTTGTTGCTCTCGTTGTTGTTGCTGTTGTTGTTGATGACGACGTTTGCGCATGCGCCGGCCGCCAACTGCCGCCTTCAGCTTATCAGAGATCAAACATCGCACATATTTACCTTTTACGTGAAATTATTTAAAGAAAACAAAACCAAAAAAAAAAAAACTAAGATGAAAATGAAACCATGCAACACACACACACACACACACACACAGGCTAGAAACAAACAAACATTAACCGGGAATTGAACAAAAAAATAAAATAAAAAAAATTGTTGTGGCACAATTCCGGGAAATCGTAGCATTCAAAGCGGCAATTTTTGAAGGCGGAAGTTGATAGAGTCACAGCGCATTGCTCACCAGCTGACGTTCTCAATCAACACCTCGCTCGACAGTCAATCACAGCCGCATCAATCAGCAGTCGGTCGAACTGAGCCGCAGAGCGCTGAAATATACACGGAGTAGTTTATGGGAAAGATAAAACTAGCTTTTATTTGACTCTAGATTTAATGGGAAATTTATGGCCAGATAAGGAGCGTGACAGTTATGCAATATTTTCATTGAATTTAATGTGCAATATTCAATATTGACGTAAAATATAATTCATTAAAAAATATTTTATAAATATATTTTATTATCAGCTTTAAATAAAAATAAAAATAAATAAATAAATACAAAATTAAAATAAAAAAATATATATATAAATACGAATATGTCAATTTTGTATATATTTAATAGTAAAATTATTTTAATGGAAATTATTGACAAAAAGTTCACAAATTTTTGTAGCTAACAAACTTTATTATATAAATATTTAATAATTTAATAAAAAGGGTTAATATATAAAATGCAGCTATAAATCCGCTCAAGGCAAATTTTATCTTAATTCTAAATTCAATCCCCAAAACTCCAGCATCTCCCCTTAAGGTATAGAAATTATTCTCCAGCAATTCAGTAGCTGTTAAGTAATTTAGTTTGAGATGCCAAACAGTTGTAGTCGAAACACATATATTATATATGTATGTATGAGTGTGTACAGGGCTACCTGAATGCGCTCATGTGTCATACGCACACACACACACACATAGCTTGAGGAATTTATGTATCTGTGACTCTTGAGCTGTGGCAGAGGCACTTGAAAAATTATCTGCAACATGTAAATTCAATTTTCATTGTTCTTTATCTGTGATGGTCTCTCACTCGCTGCCATAGAGCAGGCCAAAACAGAGGCAGTTACTAAAAATACAAAAACAACAAATAATGATGATGATGATGATGAAGGAGAAGAAGAAGCAGAAGCAGAAACGATATATTTATGTATATACAATGTATAGGTATATGAAAATATTGTAAAGTTTTCTACAAGGGCCCTTCAGTGGAGGACTGCCGTTTTGGTCTGCTGTAGATGGGGCAAAGTGTTAAGTTGGAATTTATAGTTGAGCGTTTAATCTGTGTCAGTTTGGTGCGTCAGCTTGCAGCTGGGGCGGCAGATAGCTTGAAGTGTCATAATTGACCAGACTTTGGAAGACAAGTGCCATTATTCATGGGCAGGAATTTAACTGTTGCCCACGTCGCAATCGCACTTGAGCAAGATTGAGATCTTGTCTTGTCTTGGGGGGTCGTGTCCAAGTGGAACACCCAGAAGGCACAACACAAACGTACAGTCGACTCTATAAAATGTTGTGCAGAAATCGAAAACAGTTGCTCAAATATCCCCTTCTCTCTCTCTCTCTATCTCTGTTTGCAGGCTGCCGTGAGACGGGCTTCATCTATGCCATCACCAGCGCCGCTGTGACCCATTCGATAGCGCGAGCCTGCAGCGAGGGCACCATCGAGTCCTGCACCTGCGACTACAGCCACCAGACGCGCTCTCCGCAGGCCAATCATCAGGCGGGCAGCGTTGCCGGCGTCCGTGACTGGGAGTGGGGCGGCTGCTCGGACAACATCGGGTTCGGCTTCAAGTTCTCGCGCGAATTCGTGGACACCGGCGAGCGCGGACGCAATCTGCGCGAGAAGATGAATCTGCACAACAATGAGGCGGGCCGAGCGGTAAGTAACCACCAATCGCATCCACTTGAGTCCAGTCCAGTTCGATCTAACGAGCCATTTAGTCGATCCTCCATTACAATTCAAATGGCTGTCGCCTCGACTGGCCCACAATTTACGACTTGCCTAATAAAATGCAGCGAGTGCTTTGCCGATTTCCGCCCCAATTGGCGACTTGGCCAACTCGTGGAGCCAGCTAGCCAGACTGCGGCTACAGCCACTACCCCCTGTCTCTCGTGCACTCGTTTGCGCGCATGTAGCTCGTATTTTAAAATCGTTGACAGCCTAGAGTCCTCTAGGCAACAACAACAACAAACAGCGCAAATGTAGTCCGCAGCAGCTGGATGCAATTGCACAGTGGATGCAGCTCATCTCATCAGCAGATCATTTATCAAGCAAATGAGATTTCGCCTCTCAGATCTCAGCTCTAGCCAAATAGAAAGGCTTTTCAATTTGCTATCGATTTATGGATCTGAGCTGACTGCGACTTCAAATCAATTAAAGAAATGAAAAGCTGCTTTGCTATCGCTTCAAATTAAATTTTTGTTATTTGTAATCGATTTATATAATATAACAAATTACAAATGAAAAGAAGTTGATCAATTATAGTCGAATTTCGTAAGCAAATTTTCAACGATATTCATAATAAATCAATATCAATTTATCGATCAACATATTGATAACTTTCAAAAAGATCTATCAGCTCTGATCAGCTTTAAATTTTCAAAAGTAATTTTCGCAATTAGCTCATTTGCGAGCGACCACTGTACAGACAGTACAGTGTGGCCTGCCTGCCGTTGCCTAGCTCTTGCCTAGCTCTTGGTGGTGCCATAGAAAGTGGCACACCGCCGAGTGGTGCTCAGCGCTAACAAAGCTGGAGCTGTGCAGCGATGGAGCGCCAGAGCTTTGGGGCCACCATCTGTGTTATTATTTTATTACTTGTTATGGGCTCCATCGATGATGATCATGATCATGTGGTTTGCTGTGCGCCTTGCTGGCTGCGAGGGCCCCCCAACTGCGTTGATTTCTTACTTTTGGTCAGGCCAATTACAACAACAGCAGCAGCAGCAGCAACTGAGGCAGGGGCAACAGCAGCAGCAGCAGCAGCAATAACATGCAACATGCGCACAGCAAGTTGCAACAACATTTATTGATTTTTAATAACTGCAACAACGTGGCAGGCGGGCCGCCAATCGAATCGAGCAAAAAACGGCAAAATAATTAAGTGAAAAAGATATTGGAGGAGCTGCAGCATCATCTCAACATCCCAACATCCCAACATCTCAACAGCCTAATAAAGTCATACTAATGAAGCCCCCGTCTACCCCATGCTTACTCTCATTGCAGCACGTTCAGGCGGAGATGCGGCAGGAGTGCAAATGCCACGGCATGTCCGGCTCGTGTACGGTGAAAACCTGCTGGATGCGTCTGGCCAACTTCCGTGTCATAGGCGACAATCTGAAGGCCCGCTTCGACGGCGCCACCCGCGTCCAGGTCAGCAACAGTCTGCGCCAGAGCAGCAACGCCGTCCCCGTCGTCAACCCCAATGCGGCCGGGCCCAACAGCGTCGTGGTGGCCGGCGTTGGCGTCGGCGGCAACGGGCTGCCGCCCTCGGTCAGCGGCTACGACGACGAGGAGCGCATGCTCAACGACCACATGCCCGATCTGCTGCTGGAGAACAGTCATCCCAATAGCAAACAGCACCATCCCAACATGCCCTCGCCCAACAGTCTGCCCGTGGCGGGCTCCAGGTCACGCGGACACGGACGGGGTCGCCTGGGTCGCAAGCACAACAGGTAAGAAGCGACATATATATTATATATATATATATATTCTATATTCTATATTCTATATTCTATATTCTATATTCTAT